TCCTCCAGATCATCCTCGCCTTCGCCAGCGGCTGACGCAAGCTGCCTCTCGGCCTCCTTTTTGCCCACAATACCGCGCCAGAGCGCCTCTAGCTCGTCGCCCCAGCCAAGCAGGGCAGCAAGCTTACGAACCCCAGCATCGCACGTCCCCAATTCAACAACGTCATCCGCCCTGCGACCCATCTGTCCCACCCGTTCCCTGTTGAGCAGCAACCGCGGCACGCCAGATTTCGAAGCCTCGGCCAGGCCAGCAAAGGGGTAGACCGAGAGACTCGTCCCCATGACCACAATCAAATCAGCCACGGCGGGCAGGTGTGTGTTATCGCGGAACGCCTCCGGCAGCGCCTCTCCAAAGAAGACGATATCCGGCTTCACGAGCCCGCCGCAGGAATCGCACTTGGGCACGTTTTCGTCCTGGACATGCTTCTCCATCCGGTCGGCGGGGAAGGGGTCCTTGCACTCGATGCAGCGCTGGGTGGCGAAGCTGCCGTGCGCCTCGATGATCTTGTCGTCCGGCACGCCGGCACGCCTCTCGAGGCAGTCAATGTTTTGTGTAAAGTTCATCTGCAGGAGACCCTTCTTCGCGAGCAGGGCGATGAAGGCGTGAGAGACGGTGGGGTGGAATTTTCCCGGGTAGAGCTCTTTGGCGAGGTAATAGAAGGGCTCGGGGTGCTTGCGGAAGTAGGAGATGTCGAAGACGGCTTCGGCGTAGGGGAGGTTCAAGCGGGCTAAGTTGGCGTAGAGGCCGGTGCCGGGTGATCTGAAGTCGGGGACTGGGTGGCGATTGTGTTAGAAACTTGCGCAAACTTGGTCTCAATCGTCAAGGGAGGGCGCATACTGCCAGCGGCTGTGGAGATTCCGGCGCCGGTCATGACGGCAATCTTTTTCGCATCGCCGGATTTGATGTAATCAGCAATGGCCTCCAGCGAGCGCGACTCGAGCGTCTTGGGCTGGACGCTGTCGTCCAGCATCGTCGACTCCTCGTTACCCATCTTCTTGCGCGGCCGGTTGGAGTTGGGCCGGCCCTTGGGATGTTTCTCGCGGCGTCGGCGGCCTATGATGGGCAGGTTGGCGGGGTTGGTGGGTAGGGGTGGCGGGGAGAAAAAGTCAGGTCGTGCGGTGCGAGTTGCCGTCTATCTTACTGTCGAAGAGAGAGGAGTACACCAAAAGCGCCTTAGATATTTGTCGCGTACTATAAAAGAAGCTCTAGGTTTATGTTTCGGTCAATGTGCGAGTGTAGCCTGGAGTGGATGGATGGTAGGTAAGAGGCAGCTATCTGCCTCGCCGGCGACTCACAAAAAAGTCGTTGGTTCGCTTCGCCGTTACATCATGCGGCGACCCCACCCCCGCCATCCCTCAGCGTCGTGCTCGGGCGTTTGGAGCTCTTATCGTTATCAGATGAGCCCTACAGCGGTGGCGGACATCGCGGGCCAAGACCGGGAATACGGGCAGGTAGCTTGGAATGGTCAGTCAATGTCCATTGGGTGCAGATTCCCATCTACCTGATCATGACCTCGAATCTTGCCATCTCCCTTCTTTACTCACAGCAACTTTTTCATCTCGATGGATTTACCCGTTGTACTTTTTCAAACAGAGAAATTGAGGATGACGAGAAATTGAGGATAACTGTATTTGGCATGTGCATCTCCCTATTCTAATGGACATGTATTCCGTGCATCGACGTCTATCCCTCTAGACAACAACAAGGTAGGTATCTATCGAATCTTGTCTCTAGGCAAACGATAGGCAAACGCGATCGCAGTACCAGCAATAGCCATGACAGTCGCGGCCATATACGGCAGACCGAGCCATATGCCTCCTGCCGAGTTGCCAGCTTTCAGCAAGCCCGAAATCACCGGAGCCGAAACCAGCAGGCTCACTTGTTCCACCCAGGTGATTGCCGTGTTTAGGGTACCTATCGTGTGCGGCTCGACTACGGCGTTGAGGATGGCTCGGCAAATATTTGTGTAAACGGTGCCCATGGAGAAAATGATGAGGGCTGATTCGAAAGATCAGCATATCTGGGTGATTGAGGACCGGAACCAGCTCGATACAGATGGTAAGGTAAAGAAGGCGAACATACCAGTAATTAGAAACCAAGGCGCGAATGCAATGGCGACCATGAAGCACCCGACAGCCAGGAGGATGCCGCTCATTCGGGTGAGCCAGAGATCCCGAACTAGAGGATGCACTCCCGTACGCTTGGTGATCAGCCAGCTCAGCGCGGGGAGAATGGCGAGCAGCATGACCATGTTTGTAACCGTCGAGACAGTTCCCAAGAGCGTTGCCTGCGTGTCGCAACGATTTGTCAGATAACGAACCCCGTGGTGTGTGGCTGAGACGGCGCGACATCGACTTACTTTTGCCCAAGACCAGCCCAGCAAGTTGTGCACGTATTGCGACATGATGTCTATCTTGACATACTTTACGATAACTGTGAGATTGAAGCCGAGGACGAGGGAAATCACGCTCTTGGACTTGATCAAAAAGGTGTAGACATGGCCCATGTCGTTCTTCACGGCGAAGATGATCTGCTGCTTGAGTGTGCGCTTGTCCCTCGCGTCTTCCTCGGACCGCGAGAGTGTCTGCTCGACCTCTTGATCAGCGGCGCGGCGGAGCTCCAGGGTTTCTGGGATGAAAGGCGGCAGGCATGTGCCGATGATTAGGAGGACCATGCCGACGCTGAGAGGCAGCCATGGGTTCTTGCTCAATAGGTAGGCGCTGAGAGGCGCAACTACAAGCTCTCCCGCAAGCGCGATTGCGCCAATCTTGTAGTAAACCGCGGTCCTATCACACGTGAGCTTCTGAATGACTGATCTCGGCAATGGACAAATCTTACAGGCTGGAAATGGGGACGACGTCAGAGATCATGGTCCAGGTCATGGCTTGAATCATGCCTGCGCCTCCACCTATGAATTGGAAAGCTGCTCCGAACCACATGGTCCAAAGAGGGAGAATATTGGGCCACAGAACTGTCCAATGAGCAAATTTCACCGGTCGAAGAGGTATGTTCATAACCTACGGGGCAGCAGCATCCAGGCAAGCTCCAGCGTAATACCTAGCATGGCCAAAGATAGGACTGGTCGGCGGCCATACTTGTCTGCAATAACTCCGTAGGGAATCGCAGTGAGCAATGCTGCGAATACAATAATTAGCCGGCGCTGACAGTTGGGGTTCGAGGGCGGGACATACACGGGACGCAGTCGAATGAGTTCTGCCAGCCTTTAATCATGGCTAGCTGGCCTTGTACATCCGGCCCTTTGCATACATCGTCATCCTCGGCCGAGATGATGTGGTCGGGGTAGCGTTGGCGACAGATAATTTCTTCCATGAGCTGATATGAAGGCGGGATCTGAAGATAAGCGCCAACTTCGACGATAAGAATAAAGGTCATTGCCAGACCAATGACCTTTAGCTGGTATCTACGGCTTGGGGCGACTGTGGGTGGCAAGTCGTGTGACAATAACGGCGTCTCTTCTTCAGGCCTGCTTTCGACGTCGCCATTGCGGTCGTCAACCGCTTTAGTGGGTGCCATCTTGATCTTGGAGCATACGTCGTCGGTGACGACTAAAGGAGTGTTTAGAAAAGACGAAGAAGCCGACAAAAGAAAGAAAATTGGATGTCTCAAAGGAGTGTGAAGAAGTATAAGTCTGTGGTGAAGCCAGAGTCTCAAGCACCACCAGGCGCGGTGCCGAGGGAGGTGGATTGGTCAATCCTTCCCGGAGAGGAAGGTCGATGAATGAGATGCAAGCGTCGCGTGGCCAACCAGTCGGCGGCCTTTAACTGTAATACGGAGGAATTGGACCCTGGTCGTGGACCGCCCAAGTTGGCCAGTCCTTGTGGGCACACTGAACCAACGACAAATGCGAGTCAGACTGCCTGCTGGACGTCACAGAGACTCCCCTCCGATTTGATAGACATGACAAGGCAGGTTCTATGATAGCAAGTTATTGTGTGCGGACCCAAACTTGCAGTGATGTTCCTCGCTGGCCTGTTATGTCTGGCGCAAGTACGTATCCGTACGGCGTTGACACTAGTGGTCGTTTGGGCTGGATCCGACCGGTTGGTAATCCAGGCGGCGCGTCCTCGCCTGCGTGCGGAGTACCGCAGCGCATGCAGTTAGTCGCGGTGGGAACGCAGCGTCAAGGGCCTCGTGCGTCTTACACTCATCGGCGCAATAGAAACCCGAAGATGCAAGTTTGCTCGTTGGTTAACCTTGACGTCGTGCGTGCCCTTCCAGAAGCGATAACAATTTCGTGTGTTTCCCCCGTTCTCTCCCTCTCGGATGCGTCTTTCGGAAAGCTTTCTCCGAGGACTCTTCGATGATCAGTGGATGGGAGGTTCGTCCAAATGTCAATGACCGTAAATCTCCCACTTCGATCCGGCGAGTACTTCATGGGCAGGGGTCCCTTGGACATCTCCAGGCTTGGGACGGTGCCCAAAAGCTTGTCAGCGACTGACGTGGTGACGCGTCCAGGAACGTTGAAATAAAATGCTACCTTGCGAGGCTAAGACAGCGTTCTCGGACCGAGGCCGCTCTTATTCAATCTGTATCGCAATACAAAACGTCTGAGAGGGCGGAAGAGACGTCCCTAATGCCGTTGTTGGACGCTCCGGGATCCTTGCTGAGAGACTGAATAAGTGGTCGACATTCTGCCTGGGCGCATCGTTTGGAGAAGTCTCCATTCGACCATACGTCGCGAACAGGGTACTCAAGCCAAATTTGATGATTGTAGTCGAACATCTGTCGTTCATGATTGATACCGGTTACTTCCCGCCTTCCTAGGGACACTCAGGTGGAAAGCGTTGCCTACCTACCTTACGCGTGCTACGCAGGCAAGAGCTGCGTGATGACTAAGTGAGGTGACCACCGCGGGGTGGCGAGCACCAGCCAGCCACGGCGGCAGTGACAGAAGCTACCCCGCCATCCCGCCGAAGCTCCGACGCCTCCCCTCCAACTCCAAGCCTAAGATACCTTACGTTAGCATCAACACGTCCACAATGTCTGCCAAAGTGACCGCCACCGGCCCTCTGGTAAGCCAACACAACTGACTCCAAGCAATCTACTATTCCGTATGCCCTATCTGACCCATAGAACCGCAGGGCGAGGGCGAGGCTCGCTGGATCAAGCTCATCAAGATCAACTACGACGACCAGAACGGCAACTCCCGCACCTGGGAATCCGCCGAGCGCCGCACCCGCCCAAAGAACGGCGAGATTGACGGCGTCGGCATCGTCGCCATCCTCGAGAAGCCCACCGGCCCCGAGATCATCCTCCAGAAGCAGTACCGCCCGCCGATTGACAAGATCTGCATCGAGGTTCCCGCGGGGCTCGTGGACGAGGGCGAGACGGCCGAGCAGGCTGCCGTGCGCGAGCTCAAGGAGGAGACGGGATACGTTGGCAAGGTGTCCGAGACCACGCCGATCATGTTCAATGGTATGTAACATCTCAAACAACTCAATTCTCTCTTTAGCTCAGGCGCAGCTGACGTCGATTTGCCTTCAAGACCCCGGATTCTGCAATACCAATCTCCGCATGATCCACGTCACCATCGACACCTCCCTCCCCGAGAACCAAAACCCAAAGGCCGAACTGGAAGAAGGAGAATTCATCGAGGTCTTCACCGTGCCGCTGTCCAACTTCTGGGCAGAGTGCATTCGTCTGGAGAAGGAAGGCTACGCCATCGATGCCCGCGTGGGGACTATTGCCGAAGGCATTGAATTAGCAAAGAAATTCAAGCTATAATGATGATGCATGCCCGAGACTTTTTATCCCCTTCATCGTGCCGCCACAACTCATAACTTGCCCTCGCGCCGGAGTCCCTCCCAAAGAGCCACAGCCGCAAGACACTTTGCATCCCGCGCGCCCTCCCGCCACAGATCCTTCATCGGCACCAGCTTCAACGTAATCTTCTCTCCGTGGTCCCGCAGCCCAGTCAGCTTGCCGCTCCACTCCTTCAATTGCTCGCGAGGAATCCTCTTCTCGTGGCTATACAGAGTCACGAACTCGTCACAGCCGCCGGCAGAGGGGTACATCGCCTCTGCTAAGCCCTCATCAGCTTCGTTCCCAGATGATCTGCCCGCGCCGGCCAGCTCGCTCAGGCACGTCAGTTTCGATTCGTGGATCTCCAAGCCCAGCTCCTCCTGAATTTCTTTTGCCGCCGCGCCTGCGAAGCTACCGCTGTCGTCGACCATGCCGGCGGGCAACTCAACAAATGAAAGACTACCGACCGGCACGCGGGGCTGCACCGTCAGCACGACATAGCGCTCATCGCTGTCGGGCCGGGCGTCATCGGGGATGAGCATCACCAGCATGCCGACGCTGGGTCCGCGAAGGAATATGCTGGCTGGGAGACCCTCTCCCGCCTCATTCTTGACATCGGCCCTCACCTTGAGGAAACCGACGCGGCCGGACCCAAAGATGTCAAAGGCCTGAACTGTGATGCCGCGTAGGCGGTAGGGGTCTTGGTGGAATGGGTGGTCTTTGCTCTTGGCTTGTAGGCTTAGAGAGTTGTTGAGGCCCTTGACCCAATCCTAGTTTGACAGTCAGCGCTGTTTCTCGTCCTTGAAGGGAGAACACTAGAAGTAGCTTCACACGTTAAATGGTCGGAAACCTAGTAGTTGGTCTTCCGACAGGCCATTAGGCAGCTCGACCTGGATACCGCTGTCTTTCAGTGTGACTGTCGACATGGTTCGGGTAATTATGGCTGAATGCGCAGTTGGAATGCTTGGTCGTATGAGAGTTGATCGGAAATCATTCAGTTTTGATCTCGGGTTGAGACCACTTTGGCGAAACAGAAGCGCGGCGACTCTCATTTCAATGAGATGCTCGTGAAGTGTTGACGAAGATGAATTGATTGACGTCAGACCAATGAAGGGGATTGGCGGGGCTTCCTCCGACTTACCTTAGTGCCTGCTGGAAGAGCTTTGACCGGGGTTGTGGAGAGCTTATCCCTGCACAACCCGGAGGCTCGCTAGTTGTTGATCAACGAAGGCTAAGGTACCTAGTATGTTAAGCACATCTGATGCTCACTTGGCAAGCCTATAGCTAGGTCCCACTCGCCGTTTGAATTCTTTATTTTCCTCTGTTCTCTCGTTGTTAGGTCCTTGATCATCGCATTATTTACTTCAGACAAATACCCGCTTTAGCATCTAGCCCACGATGTGTAGAGAGGTAAGCGAGGTGTCTATTGTCCAGCTCATTCCTGCTTCATATGAAGCCCTGCGCAACGAACGATGGTGCCACGAGTCTGAATCATCCTTACGGGGGTCACATTATCTTGACTGGAAGGCGCTGGCAGACCGGTGATTCCACATCAGATGACTAGAACTGCGCAAAGAGCCTATACATACCCCTTCAATCTCATTCCTGTCACCAGCAACAGCAGGCGCCTTCCTAGGTCGGTTGGTCAGGACAAACTGGCTGGGTGGTGGAATGGTTAAAAGATCGACAATACCCCTTGACAGCCTAATCGACCGGCTACGAGTTCGAGTCCGCATACGATCCCAGCATGAGCACTATAATATTCGCCAGGAGATGTAGCCATACCGGTGGTGAACTTCTTTTTTGCGTGCGTGTAGGTATCGTTGTGACGAAGTCTGTCCTAAGGTAGGTAAGCTTCTCGGCAGCATCAGCAGAATAAGAGAGAGAAGACCAAATGTCGGCTACACGAGAAGCCCGGAGACCAAGAGAATCAGTCCAAAGATTTGTAATCGTCAATGCTTTTCCTGCCTGGATGCTGTACATGGCTACATATGCAAGTGGAACATTCCCCATAGACATATTTCGTGCAGAAAATTTACCTCAACTCCAACAACCTTTTACATGTTCACGTTCGCTGGACCACTGGCCTCCCTCTTGGCTGATTTATCCCAGGAAATTTTTCAAGTTCCCGCCAATGTTCTTTAAATCCAACAGGAACGTGTCGTGTCCAAAGAAACTCATCTCCTCGCTCAGCTCATAGTGCGCAACGTTCCTATTGCCCGCGAGCTTCAATGCCTCGGCCACTTCCCTCTGCTGCCACGCGGGGAAGAGGATGTCACTCGCCACACCAATCACGAGAGCGGGAGTGTCTCTCAGAGGCGCAAGGCCCGCAATGAGGTCTTCAGGCGGCCTGGAGGACACCTCGACGGACTGATCGGCCGTGCCGGCGTTGGATTCTGGCTGCTCCACGTAGGGCTTCTCGGGCAGCGTAAGACTGCAGGCGGCGTCATTGCGCGCGGGCGACTCGCCAGACTGCAGAAGCTTCTCGCGCTCTGCTCTCCTCGCGTTGGCAGCGAGCTGGTTCTCCCTCCCCAAGTCGAAAAGATCCATCGCCTTGCTGACATAGAGCAGACTATTAGGATCGTACGTCAAGCAGAACTTTTCTCCGGCGTGATCGAGGTACGTCTCGATCAAGAAATCAGGGCACAGCGCAGGCGGCTTGCTCGGGTCCGCCCTCCGCCTGCCGAACCTCTGCTCCCACTCCGGTCCCGACCGGTACGTGACGGTCGCAATCTCGCGCGCGAGCTTCATTCCCGCGTGCGGCGGCACCCTGCCGTAGTAGAACCCTCTGTTCCAGTTCGGGTCCATCATCAGTACCTGCCGCTGCGTGTGGCGCATCGCGATGCTGTAAGGGTGTGACCGGGCGCAGCCGCTGATGGAGACGATCCGGCCGACGCGGTCCGGGAAGAGGACGCCTGCACCGAGCGATTGCATGCCGCCCATGCTCGAGCCGACGCTGGCGTAGAGCTTGTCTACGCCGAGGCCGTCGAGGAGGCGGAACTGCGCGCGCACCATGTCCTCCATGGTCAAGATGGGAAATCTTGTCGCGTACCGCTGTCCGTCTGCTGGGTCGATACTGCTCGGTCCTGTTGAGCCGTAGCAGCCTCCTATTACGTTTGTGCAGATGACGTGGTATTTATCGGTATCTAAAGCCAACCCCGGTCCGATGAACTTCTCCCACCAACCGGGGTTGGGGTTGCTCTCTGTCGAATGCGCGTGAGACGACGCCGAGAGGCCAGTGTGCAAGAGAATGACGTTGGACTTGTCGGCGTTCATCTTGCCCCACGATTCATATGCGATGTCGAATTCAGGTAGAACACCGCCCCAGTCGAGCAGGAGAGGGTCCTTGCAGTGGTATACTTCTGTCGCGCCGGCGGTATAAGACGGCTCGGGGCCGCTCGATTCGTACCGTGCTTCGAGGCTCGCGGATCGGTTCTCGAGAGCGTCAAGGCATGGAAATGCCATTGCCGGATTTGACGCATCGCCGGAGCTGTTCGAAGCCTTCCGCGCCGGCTTGGAGTGGAACTGGTGGGCGCATTGTCGGTTGCCAAGAGGAGCTGCCGCCGCGACTTTGGAGCTCCGGAAAACGGAGGGAGCTTGGACGCGCGATGCTGGTGCGCGGGCCTGGCGAAGGGCCTGCGAGGCGATTCTTTGGCACTTCATCGCAACAAATACTGACAAAAAGTTGGCAATTGGGAATTATGAAAGGCCCGGGACCATTTTCCAGGTCACTTGCGACAGAAATATCGAGGCCATCGGCTCTCGGTTTGTAAGCGGGAGCTCCTCCGATGACGACCCATTGTCCTCAGTCAGTGGCTAACGATGGTGTAATTTCACGTGATACCGACCGATAAGGAATGCTTATCGCATCAAGCAGGGGTCCTGTCAGTGACATCTCGCAACCCCACCATCGGGTCCATATCCCCACTGACGTCAATTTAAAGCTGCAGGCCTCCGTGCACCGACCCCGAAATGAACCTTTGGAGTTGCCATGAGCTGACGTCGCCTTCCCACGTACTTAGGTACCACAACCACAAGATCCCTACGAAACCGGCGCCTTCACATCTTCTTACCCCTCTTCCCACCATTCCTCTTTCTGAGTTCCCCAGATATCCCTCCTGTGTATCCGTACATGTCTTTCTTCTCCCAATTCCAACAATACGCCGGAACCTTTGCAACAGTAGCAGCCAGTGCCATCATCGCTAGAGCCGTCGGCATCATGCAATCAGACACCCGAGACGACCACTCAGGGCCAAGCCCGCAGGAGCCCGGGAATTACAAGCCCTCGCACGTCGATGTCATCGTTGTCCGCGTCATGCTCGAAAAGGCCTTCAACTTCCCTCCCGAAATTCTAGACCTCATCATCGACCAGGCCGAATACTGGCCGCATTCCGAAGCCAGCATCTACCACGCAGTAACTCCCCTCCGCGATGCCCTCCGTGTAGTAGGCACCACCGGAGACGAGAACAAGTTCATCCTGCGGTGTCCCCCCATCGGATTTCTCGACTTCAAAAAGGTCGGCCCGGCATTCAAGACCGCGCCGCTGCCGCCCAAGTCGGGCGATGGGTCCCCCGTTACGGAGCCGCTCCGTAACCTGACGCTCCTCGAACCCACCTCAAGCCCCACCGAGATCGTCTCCGAAGCCCCGAGAGAATACTTTACGGGGTCCATGAAGGCGCCGCCCACTCTGACCCACCCGGTGCGGAAGATCGTCTTCAAGTTGCGGAGTAAAGATCAAGGTTGGGGTGGTGGACACGGTGATCGTGGGTCCTACCGAGGATCTTGGTCCTGGTTCGAGGCTGGCTTGGAGAAGTTCGACAAGGAGCGTACCTGTAAGCTATCCTTCTGCTCATGGAACAAAACCCTGCTAAGCACTAACGAACAGGCGATGGATCCTGCAAGATAGCAGCGGAAAGCTCGGATAGCGAGTCCGAAGAGGCACCCGTCATCAGCGAAACGAACCTGTGCACCTGCGGCCTTCAGTCGATATATCCCCCCGTCCTAGCGACCGCCGACGGGAAGCTTGCCTACTCCCATGCTATGCACCCGCTTGAGAACCTCAAAATACAAACCAACAAGACTGCCAACAGGGACTTTATGGACCATGAGGTGGTATGGTCTTGGACCGACGACATCCACCCGGAGTCGCCCGAGGCCGACCGGCTAGCTGAGATAGGTCGGGGCAAGGGCACAGGGACTGGAAAGTTCGTGCGCAATTTGAAGCTGGGAGATGTGGTCACGGTATGGGGCAAGGCGAGGTTCGGTGGCTGGGCCAACTACGTGGAGAGCGTCAAGGTTGAGATTTACTGGGCTGTTTGAGATACAGTTATTGCAGCGTTTACGATCCGCACCGGTCTGTATACTATTCCCCCTAATATTCACGTTTCATGACCACCGAAACGTAATTGTCGCCGCGCACAGCGATGCCTCTCGGAAGGTTTGCCATGAAGTAGTACCCCAATCAGAGCCTGTATGTGATATTTATGCCTTGCCAGACCGTACTTCAATACCCTTCGTCCAGCACCGTAAGCCCGTCGTAACCCGACTTCAAGACCTCAGTATTCACGATGAAGACTGCAACAAGCACTGCACGATTCTCGCTGCTAGGATTTTCTCCCACCGTGTGATGACAGCCGGGCAGCTCCATGAAGCTTTCCCCCACCTCGTATACCTTGGGCGGATTCCCGTTCATGCCACTGAGAAGCTTGCCCTCGATGACATGGACCACAACAGTGGCGCCTGCATGTCGGTGGGGAGGAGTGGCACCGTTGGGTGGGTAGGTTACTTCGAGGCCAACTATGGATTTTCCCTCAGCGTTTGCTAGTTTGTAGTCATATAGGATCTTGACTGTTTCGCGGGGTCGAGCCATGCTTGAGTTCATCAGTATTAACACATGTAAAAGGTCTTTGTATCGTTTGACTGACCTAGCTGTCGGTCTCTTCGATTCGATTTGTAGGATGATTTATTTACAGTGTTGAATTTCTTTCTCTTGATCGTGCGACTCAAGTGACAACAACTAGATTGGTTTGAAAATACTCTTATTAAATAAATTGGTCACGAGCGCCGGACACAATGAGTGAAGTTCCCGCTAACTCATCCCATTCTTCCATTTTGCAGAAGCCCGACCCAGGTCGCCGCCGTCAGGGAAGTGGATACCCGAGTTCACGGATACCCGGGGCGGGTGGTACGTACTTGCGGGTACCCGCCAGCGCCGTCAACGAGTTCCCGCCCGAACGGGTTCCCGGGGGGAGCATCAGCGAATGCCGAAGAGATAAAGCAAGCAGAATCGTACCCGAATTCGCAGGTGAAAACAATCGCACAAGCTACCTTACGCTATATAACAAGTGCTTTTCTGTAGCACGGAAAAGCAATTCACACGTAACGCACCTGCCTCTCGTTCCTCCCTTCATCAGCGACACTTCACTCGCCTCACAACAACCCCAGCTCTGGAAGCGCAATGACGAATAAGATGAAAGCAGTCCAGATCATGAGCGACAAAAAGTCTCCCAAAATCACTCTCAATACGGATATGCCAAGGCCCACGCTTACTGGCGCCGAGATCCTGGTCCGGGTGCACGCTGCTGGGGTCACCGGCGATGAACTCGGCTGGCCCGAGCTGTACGAAACCGCATCCCGGATCCCCGGCCACGAGCTATCAGGAACTATCGCCGAACTCGGCCCAGATTACACCGGAAACCTTTCCATCGGCCAAGATGTCTATGCATTCACATCAGCAGACCGTGGGCAATGCCAAGCTGAATACGTTACATGCTTGCCAGACGAGGTTGCTCCGAAATCGACTCGCATCTCTTATGTTGAGGCCGCAGCACTTCCGATTCCAGTATTAACGGCATGGGAGGCTGTCGTCGACCATGGGAAGATTACTACAGATATGACTGTCCTAGTCACCGGGGCCTCTGGTGCCGTTGGCGTCCTTGCGGTTCAGTTGGTTACCCAGCTTAGCGGCGCTCGTGTCATTGCGCTGGCTTCACCGCGACATCACGAGAACTTGAAGCAGCTAGGTGCCGAAGTCTTGGACTACAATGACCCAGACTGGACCTCCACAGCCGGTGGTGTGGATGTCATCATAGACACAGTTGGCGGGAGTATCCTGAGCGATGTATGGAAGGCCGTGGCGGTGGACGGGATGATCATAACTGTTGCTGATCCACCGCCTCCTTGGGCATTCGGAGACACCGTACCGGAAGAGTCATTTGCGCGACCTGGAGTTCGACACAAGTACTTTATTGTATCTCCCAATGCTGAGAGGTTGTGTAGGGCATCTGAGATGGTTGAAGCGGGTGCCTTGAAAGCTCTGGCGGTGAAGTCATTCCCTTTTACAAAGGCGAAGCAAGCTTGGGAGTGTGCCCAACAGAGGGGTAGAGGTCATAAAGTCGTCGTTGAGTTTTAGTAGATATACATACACTGGAATCTTGTTACTTAGCAGCATTATGGAAGATCCAATTTCAAGAGTGCCCAGTATCACCCTACACAATTAGCTGTGCGACGTGGACACCCAATGCTTTCGTTAATTTCTCGGTCAAGGACTCCCACTAAGTTTGGCATGGAAATCCTCTAGCGAAGTTTCCTTTTGACACTGCCCTCATTGAGGTCATTCTAAACGTAACTAAATGTCATTTTGCACCCAATGTGAAAGCTGCGAACCCTCCATGTTATACCAGCCGCAAACATCATCCATGGTACCCAGCGAGGCGAACACCTCACTCTCGCTGCTTGACATATTGGTCTGGGAATTCGAATTCCCCGCATCGCCTTTATCAGTCACGGCAAGGCTTCCGGCAGTATCTGTGACAGTCCTCTCCCCTTTCAGCCTGGGTTTGAAACCAAGTACATGCTGAGCAATCGTCTGGATCTCCCGTACGTTCTTGGCTGTTCTGGGCCACACTTTCCCCAAAGTCTTGAGGCAACCAATCGTCATCCGGATCTGGTCTCGCGCGACAGCGAGCTCTTTTCCCTTGAGCAGAAAACTGCAGGCCGATAGCAGCGCCAATGTACCTTCACTTACCATACAGGTGGTGAATGGAGTGTGATGGAATCGTTCAGTTGGTAACGCCAATAGTCTCACCTGTGCTTGCACCGCCCGAAGAACTCTGACGGTGTGCACATTGACAAGCTCCGTCTCGGGATTTTCTTGAGGAGGCTCCCTTGCACAGCTAGAGATGTCCTCTACGGTATTGAATCTCAGGTCTGATAGAGGTCGATGTAGACCGATGGTTGCTCTGATGCATCGGACGAGTGTCAGCTGAGACATGCTCTACAAGAGATTGAATACTTCACCTTACACGTTAATTAAAAGATGAGCTTGGAACATTAGCTCATCAATCTCTCCAGTCTTGGACATGATATGGCGACGATCTTCTGGCAGCAGTAATGACCAGCCGTCGATGATTGAGTCTGCTTCTTCAATCATACGCATAGAGTCCTCTCTGGCAACCAATTTCGGTGTCGTAGATATTGCCAGGGCAGTGCACTTTACAGCGCCGATGAGGTATGCAAAGGAAGAGTAGGACGTATCCTCCGAAGCAAACTCGCGGAGGTCGAACTCTTCGAGAGTCTGCGGTTCCGGAATATCCTTTGATTTGTGAGTTCAGTGCGAATGACCCCTGAAATTCTTTGGGCAGGAATAGCAATTACCCCAGATTCATACTCTGACTCCGTGCAGGGTAGTTCTACGCTGGAGTCTACCTCCACGACTGCGAAGTTCATTGTCCCGAGAGTCCCAGCGTAGTAAGCATCGATGATGTACAGCATCCACCACGTCCGCCTCCAGCATTCCATCAACACAGGAGACTCGGCTCCATGAGTTGCTGCGAATTCCTTCTGGAACATTTGCAGGTCGAGGACTAAACGGACTGCGAGGTCCATCTGATGCTTGGCCTCGGTCTTGTGGCTGTACCAGAACAGGGCTATGGAGTAGAGTAGCCGGCATTGCACAATGACCGGGTCGTTCGGCGCCGGCTCAGAAAGTCGACTTTCGACGTCATCTTGAAGCTCTGAAGACCATTTTCTGGTAGCGTAAATGTGTCCTACAAGATGCATAGTGCTTATGAGTGGTCTGAGTCGTTCTATCCAGTTAGGATCTTGACGAAATCTCGTAAAGTGCTCCTGCGGTAGGAGAAACGGGTGGAATTTGTGGAAATTAGTGTAATATGCGTTTATAAGTGCGTCGTTCTCGAGATCATCTGGTCGTATAGTCGAGTTCGCGGGCGGAGCCGATGTAGGGATTTGATTCTCGAGACTAACATCATCGAAAATACTTGAGTCAAGGTTCAGCTCAGCAAGAGAGTCTTGGCCGAATATCTGTGGATCTGTTGATTGCTGCGATGGGAGACTCGTTGGTAACTCGGAACTGCTATTGCCGACACTATTTGCGACGGCAAGGCGCTTTCTTCGTTCAGCAAGCGCTACACGATCCAAGCCGCCCCGGCGTGATGGGGCATATTGGCAGTCCTTCGCGGCGGTAGCACATCTATCGCAATGAGGTCGTTTTCCGTCGCACTTCAAGTGTCTCGAGCGGCACGGCAGACAGGCTAGCGAGGAGCGAGATGCTGCGCCGTTCGAATGAGCGGGTGCGACGGGGACGGTCATCGGTGGATGTGTCAGCGGGCCTGTGAAGTTGAAGTTAGGACGAAGTACGGATGTCCGCCAGCCGTTTTGACGGCTGCGAGGACTCCGGTATTCGGGGACCCGTTGTAAGTCAATAGGTTACCCGATGTAAGCCGGCCGCCACGTTCGCGACAAAGCCGTGGAGCTAAGCAGATTAGCGTGATAGAAGTCAGCGACGGCGCAACAGGAACCCACTGAGAGGAGATGGGAAAATAATGTGTTAGTACAAGCACGCGGGAACAGGGATATCCATAGTAAGTAACCGTTTCTAGCATTGAACAGGAGGTATTCGTGAAGCTTGACGCTGGCAGCAGTGCATAGGTACTAAGAATCTGCGGACTGCGACAGGTTTGAGATTGAACAAGTACATATACTTAACCCATACAATCTCACTCGCATGACAGTTACTATCTTGGCAATTCAACCGTCCACTGCAAGTCTCAATTTCTAGCAGTTACTCATACAAATATGCCCGGCAGGATTGTCATCATTGGGACCGGGTTCGCAGGTGTCTGGAGTGCCCTTGCTGCCAAACGTCTCATCAACGTCCCACAGCCAGACCGAAGCATTCAAAGTCACTGTCATAGCTCCACAGCCATGTCTTGTCATGCGACCACGACTGTACGAAGAGGATTCGTCAAGCTGAGCCAGGATCTCGAACCACCATTCAAGGCACCCGGCATCGAGTTCATCCATGGCAGCATCGTTGATATCGATGTCCACTCCCACACAGTTTCTTATAGGTCCAGCGCAGGCACAGAGAATCTTGCCTCATATGACCGTCTCATTCTTGCAGCTGGAAGCTCGGTTGTTCGGCCAAAGCGAATATCTAGACTTAACCAGCATGCGCATGATGTTGATTCGTTGGAAGGCGCCGTCAAACTCGAAGTGCATCTCGACCGCCTTGGAAGCTATCCATCAACCACTGCTCGCGACACTGTCGTCGTATGCGGCGCTGGTTTCACTGGAATTGAGCTAGCGATATAATTGCCCAGACGTCTGAGTTCAATCCAGAGTCCGCGAGTTATCTTGGTGGAGGCGGCGGGAGTGCTTGGTCCAGAGCTGGGACCAGGCCCTCGACCTGTCATCACCCAAGCACTAGAAGAGCTTGGCATAGAACTCAGACTCGCCTCGCCTATTACAACGGTCGACCCAGGGGTTCTCAGCTCGCTTCTAGCGAGATAATCGAGACGATGACGACCATTTAGACCGCGGGAGTGCGGGCAACGCCTTTGACGCAGAAGATCCCTGGGCCCAAGGATAAGCTATCGCGCCTTCAGGTCTACTGCTGCCTGCGTGTTACATCATCAGAGCACGTCTTTGCCACTGGAGATGCTGCTTGTGCTGTCTCTGACAGAGATGAGCACTATGCGTTGATGTCCTGCCAGCACACTCTTCAGCTTGGCCGTGTTTCGGGATACAATGCCGCCGCAGACATCCTGGGAGTTCCCCTCTTCGAGTACAAACAGGGATGCTATAACTATTGTCTTGATCTTGGCGCATGGGGAGCTGTCATTACGGGCGGTTGGGAAAGAAAAGTATGGCTTACGGGGGAGCTGGCAAAACAGGCCAAAGTGTACATCAATCAGACGTTGATATACACGCCTGAAGACTGTCATCGGACGCTGGAAGCGGCTACTCCCGTCGGACCTGACTCTGACGAGTTATTCGAGCAGATCGTGGAGACCGCTTAATAAGGGCTGATTTCGCGAGCCTTTTATTTGTGTAAAATCTAGTGCTTCAACCTTGAGAATCGGCCTGCACGTAGTGTTAGTGTGTGATTGCTCGACGTTGGTCGTCATCGCAAGTCAGTCTTCGTGCGAAAGGCCCATATATGTTTGTGCATACGCCCTGAAGACGCCTCAAATGGACTGCGATAGTTGAAAGGAGGCATGTGTTATGATTGCTACTCTTCAAACGGATGCCAGACCCCTGGGAATATCCATTCTTAAGCCACGGATGGTATTGCCGAAAGGATATTTAACTGAAAGTACAACCTTTAAAGATCTTTCTCCACCTCATCCGCAATCTCGTTGATCTGCTCAACAAACTTTTCCACTTCAGTAATAAAGGCCGAATGTCCACCAGGATTTCTCAGAACTCTCTTAAGCGTCGGAATTGTCGAGATGATTTGCTCTTGTGTGGCTGGAGATATTGTCTGGTCTTTCTCGCAAAGGATGTAGTAAACGGGAACCGTTAATTCCTCCGAACCGACAGACGCCGAACCCAAGAGAGCCTCTTGCGACTGCGGCAACAATGTCGCCATGCACTCATCGGCCAACTTGTCGTCCATGTCAGGGCCGTAGAACGCGGCCTTGGCCTTGGCGTTTGCCATCACCAGACCATCGGCGATATCGACAATATCCAAGCCAGGGGGCAGCACGCTCAGTGCGCTGGCGCCAGCCTTGGGGGGCATGTTGGCTGTAACGAAAACGATGGCTCGGATGCCGCCCTTGAGACCCTGGGCTGCTCTTTCCTTGACCGAGTGGCCTTTGGCTGCGATGGTCAAGGGGCTTCCGCCATATGAATGTGCCAACGCAAGGAACTCTTTGCCCTGTTCCAGGTAGGGGGCAAGTTCGGATTGAATGTTCCGGGCATCGTCGTCAACGGTGATCTTGGGATCGGTCCCAACACTGGGATGGCGGACAGCAACAACTGGAGAAAACCCGGCCTTCTCGAGCCGAGCTTTGGCGAGGTCAAAACAAGCGGGGAGGTGGAAGCCCCCGTGGGCAAAGACAATGCCCAAAGATCTGGATGCGTGTGATACTGCTGCCATTGTGCTTTCAAGCCACGTTGATTTTCTTGGTGATGGTTGGTGTGATTTGAATCGAGAACGTGTCTTTGGAACTTTTACATTTCAGTTCCTACAAGTGTTCGGTCTTGTTGCTCGGGCAGACAAATCTGACTCAAGATTGAGATGCGAGGGAAATGTTAATCATCTTATGGACGGGTCCCAAACTTCCATTAGTCTTAACCTTGTAGACGTGGTGGGACAGGAGAGTCGCTTAATAATCTGTTATAATATGTTAGTATCCCTATTATAAGGTAGCTAGTTCGAACCGTAGGTTAACAAAGAGATTAATTAAACTATATAAATTTTTACGTAAGTATAAAAAAGAGGTTCTAACTATAAGTTAAACTAGCTATGATAATTATAAATAAGGCCCCCTAATTAGCCCTTATATAATTAGCTATATACTATAGTTAAATTAAATTTCTAATTTAATATTAACTTTTTTTTTTATTAATTTATTTATTATAATTAGAAGTATAATTTAACCTCGGGCCCGTTTATTAAGTCGTTTTTTTTTTCCCCTTTTTTTTACTTTTTTTATATAACCTATCCCTCTATTCGTATTTTAATTTTTTTATTACTTATAAATTATTTTAACCTCTTATTAAGTACTATTTTTATAAAAGTGTTAATAAAGTTATCGTCTTTATTAATTTAACGTATTTTAAAAATTTTACGTTTTTTATATAATTACTTAAAAGCTATAATATTAATTATAAACCTCTTTTTTATTATTATTCTTAATTTAACGAGGTATTTATATAGCGAATAAGAATTAATATAAACGACTATTAAAATTAGTAAAAAATTAAGTTAATTAATAATTCTCCTTAGCGTTATTAAAATCGTATAAGTAAGGTTAATACTATTAATTATATTATAAACTTCTAATACTAAAATACTTCTTATTACTTACTTATTTTTAATTAATAAGTAGTAGACTATATTACTATATATAATAAATTTACTCTTACTTATACTCTTATTAACTAAGATAATAATATACCCTAATTACGAAATAAAGTCGTTATTATTCGTAAATAACCTATTAATAAAGATATAAAGTTTATTAATAATAAAGTTAATTAGGTAATAAACGAGGCCTCGATTAAGATTCGTTTATTATTATTTAAACTACTTATTAAGTACTTCGATATTTTATTTATTTAGTTCTATAGCTTATATTATTTTAGTATAGTTAAAAATTACCTTAGGCTAATATATACTTATAATATATACTCTTTATATAAGCTTAGTTTTATATCGCTTTTTAATATTAATTACGTTCGGGTTAACGAGAGTAATTTTTTTATTCTACCCTTTTTATTAAAAAACGACGGTTTCCCCTTTAATTATAAGAATTTTATTATTAAATATTAATAAGTTATTCGTTATAAAAACCTCTTTTAGTTTTATTATAAAGCCCGCTTTTTAGAGCTCTTTATCTTTTTTTTTTATAAAGTTAATATTAAATAGGCTTAATATATTATTAATTTATATTTTAATGATTCTAAATTATTCGCTTTTTTATTTAGAAACTAATAAGTACGGGTTATACGTAGATATAATTATTAATAATTAATTAATATAAAAATTATAATATATAGCCTATTAATAAGTACCCGATTCTACGAGCTTATATAGTAATTTAAATACTTTAATAATCGTATTTTTTAAGTACTTATTAACTATTTTTTTTAATAAGTAGGTTAGGATTTTTTTTATAAGCCCTATAGCTAATTAAGTATAGGCCTAAGTAATATTATAGCTCTAAATTTCGTATCCCTTTTTCTATAGTAATACTATTAGTACTATTATTAATCGTTAACTATAGTATTATACTATAAGTAATTAGGTAAGTAGCGTTACCTTTTTAGTATTACTATACCCTTAAATTATATACTTAGATTTCTTATATAATTAAGGTATTTTTTTTTTTTAATTTTATATACTATTTACGATTTAAATATACGGAGACTTTTATATTTCTTAGGGTCGTAAAAGATAAATTAATAGACCCCTCGATTATATAGAGTATTTATTTTAATAAGATCTAATCCTTTATATAGCTTTTTAATAGTTATAATAATACCTTTTTTACGTAATTTAATTACTAACTTAAAATCGGCTTTTTCTTTTATTATATAAAAAGTATTAATTACCTTATTATTAATAATAAATTATTATATTAAAGCTTACTATTATGGTCTTTTATAACGTTTTATTAATAATATTAATACCTTTTTAATAATTTCTTTTTCCTTATCGTTTATTAATATTATTACGACGATTTCGTTAAGGATAATTTCTTATATTTCTATTATTAATTATACGGTTTCCCCTAGCTCTTTTTTTTTTTTATAAGTTAGAAATTACCTCGATAAGATCTATATAATATAGTCTAATTATAATAATTAATACTTTAAATAACTAGTTATAATCTCTTATAATTATATAAAAACGCTCGTTAATAAAAATTAATTTATATAACCTAGCTTATTACTAAATAATTTCGTACTAAACTTATATATCCGAATTTAGGGGTATATCTAAATTAGCCCTTATATTAGGCTTATTATATATAATAATTACTTCGTTAATTTATTTTTTTACGCTTATTTTATATAGTACTTATATTACTTTTTTAATTACTCGGGCTCGTTAACTTATATTTAGTAATAATAATAAGGCTAAAGTCGTTTTTAAGTATACTCTAAATACTAATAGCGTTAGTATAAGACTATTAAGTCCTATAATATTATTATAATATTTAAATACCGTTTAGAAATATTCGTCGTTAATAAAATCGGGATTTTCCTTTTTAATAATCCTAAACGCCCTTTTTAGCTACTAATATACCTTTTTTACTTTTCTAATACTATAATACGCTTCTACGGGTACGATTTTTAACTATATACTATAAGCTATCGTATTTTCTTTAAATTTTATTAACTTAAAACTCGTATTAGCGTTAGTTTTAATACTATTTAGCAGTCCTTAGTATATATCGATCTAGCTTTTTTATAAAACTACTTATATTATTTTTATTTATAAATCTTAAAAGAATTACCTTATTTAAAATAATATAGCCTCGTTAATTATATATAAAACCGGTCGACTATTTAAATAAAAAATATTAATAACGATTTCCTAATTAAAATTAAGCTTATTACGCAATTTAAATTTAAATTTATATAGGCTCTATGTATTTATTTAATATTAATAATATATTTTCGTTAACTATTTTAGTGCCCCTATTTTAATATCCTTATTACTTAATTACTTTAAGAAGTTATATAGCTTCGTAATTAATAAGTACTTAAATCTCTAGTATAATTATTTAAGCTTATTTTCCGTTAAGTAATTAATTAACTTTATATCATTAATAAGCCTTATAAACGCGTACCCTTATTATTATTTAACTATTTCGAAATACCTATTATTAAAGATTTTATTTTTTATATTATTAAATATAATACTTAGTTAATTTAAATTTTTTAAATATAAGAAAAATAAAGTATTAACGAGTAGAATATAAAAAGTTATTGTTTTAAAATATATTTTTATTTTTACTATACTTATAATAATAATTTCCTTACCTAGGCTGAAGCTAATTTTTATAATACCCGCTATTAATATATTAAGTATTACTAATATAATTTTTTATAATACTTAGAATTACCCCTTTCTTTTTATTAATTATTATAATACTTTAATATCTAAAATAATTTTATAAAAATTATTTAGGCCGTACTTTTTACTTATATAAAATACTTATACGAGCTTAGTATTTAAGTAATCTAAGTAATATAAAAAGGACCCCTCTAGCTACCCCTAAAATTACTTAGTACTATTTTTCTTTTTTAATATTAATAAAAATAGTATTTTCTCCTTAAATATTAAAAAAATAGAATTCTATATTATTAAATTCGTCCTTTTATTTACCTCTATATCCGTTATTTAAAGGACCTTTTTTATTATTTATAAATAAAAGCCTACTTATTAAGAGCTTTTATTACTTTTTATTTATTTAGTCTCGTATATCCTCTAAAAGCTAACGGTATAAAAAATAAATAATTAATATCGTCGGTTTTATTATAATTTAATTCGTTAATATAAAGAGTAAGATCTTTTTTAGTTTCCGAATTTCCTAAGGGGGGCGAATATTCTAAGCCGCTATTTTAACTATTATTACTAAGTTCCGTACCCCTAAATCTACCCTTATATATAATAAAGAATTAGCTAAACTAACGAGGGCTAGTTTTACTATTTATTACCCTTAATTTTCTATATTATTCATATAATTTAGTACGCTATTCTTTAAAATAATTACTTAATTAATATTTATTTTTTTTATAAATAAAGTATTATTTTTTTTATTATTCTATTTATAAGTTAAATCTCTACTTATTTAATAAATCTAAGCCTCCTTACTAATAATTACTATACTTAGTCTCTTTTTTTTTTTTTTTATATATTTAGTTAACTTAATATTATTAATAAAGGCCGTTATATTTTTAAAAATAAGTTTAGTATAGTATTCTTATTTTAATATTAAAACTAAATCTTAACCTCGAATAGAATATTTTATAATTTTTAAGTACTTAATATAAAGTTATTTTTATTTTTAATACGCACTAAACTATAGTATAAAAATATTTAATTTTTTACTCGTTAGTCCCCTTATTTAGCTAGGTTTTTACTAGCTTATTAATTTAATTAATAAGCTCTTTTAGGATTTTTACTCACAATTTTCCTTTTATTATTCTAACTATAAATATAAAAAAAATTACTTATAGCTTAAATAAGAGCTCTAAATTCTTATTATAAGTCTTAAAGCGGCTTCAAATTATATTAATAATATTAAAAGAATCGTTCTAATTAAAATTACGTACTACTTTATAATAATAATTAGAAGCTTTACTTACGAGTACAATATTAATTACTAAATAATATTAATATTCCCTAATCCCGACTTTTTTATAATAATTATAAAATATTATTAGGGTTTTTTATAAAACTTTATACTTCCCCCTAAAATATAATTTTTTTTTAAAAAGATTTTTTTAAAATTTATAAATTACTTCGTATTTACTACTATATTTTTAGTATTTATATACGATCCTTATATTATTATATATTATTAATAATTTCGGGTCGTTTACTTCCTTTTTTATTAACTAATTAGTACCGAATTTCGTATTAATAGCGGTAACGAGCTATAGATTAAAATAAATAAAATTATTAATTATTATATATTTAGTACTATATTTTATTTTTATATATCCTTTTATAATAATAAATTATTATTAATAATTATAAAAAAGAAATTTAAATCGTTTACTCTTTTTTTAAATTTATTAAAATAATTATACGCTTTATTAACTTATACTTAATTTTATAATACGAATTCCTCCTCTATAATCGTTATTACTAAGATTTTATATAGTTCTTATAATTATAATTACGTTAGTAATACCTCTTATTTATAAAAGAATTTATTAATTACTTTTATAATTCCTAAACTTACGCTTATAAACTATTTATTTAGTTAATAACTAAGGTCGTTTACGATTTTATAAAATAGGGGTTACCCCTATAGCCCCTTTTTTTTATAAACCTTAGTTAAATAGATTAATATTATATTAATTTATTTATTATTAAGCTAATTTATAATTTTATATATCTACGTCCCCTAATAATTTAGGTTAATATTTACCTACTTATAAGGGATTAGGATTCTATTTAAGATTAGGTTTTTTTTTTTTCTTTATTCTAACTTACTAAAAATCGTACTCTAGTTTATACTTATATTAATAATTACTAACGTATTTAATTTTAATAAAAATATATTTAATCTATGCACTAGCTATAATAAATCTATACTTTTACTATTTAACGAATTTATTAAAATTTAAATAATTCCCGCTTTTTTTTATTATCTTGCTATTACTCTCGTTTTTATTATTTTTAATAATTATTATTACTTTTTTAAATCGCTAGCTATTATACTTACTAAGATCCTTTTTTTTATTTAATATAAAAAAATAAACTTTAGTAATTCCTTTTTTAATAATAATAGTAAACGTTTATATTATTATAAAAAGACGTAATAATTAGTTTTAGGATTTTTACTAATTACTAATTTTTATTATTCTTTATATTTCTAACTTTTTAAGCCTTGTATTTTTTATAATTTTTAAATTATTTCTTTTTTTAACTTACTTCCTTTAGGGTAGTATTTTAAAAAAATAATTAAAAATAAATACTAAGTATTTTGTAAAAAAGCTAGATAATCTATTAAGAACTAAATAAGTTATTAAGTATAGTTAATAAAGTTAAGCTCTCTTTTTTATAAAATCAAGGACTTAAAGTATTTATTAAAAATACTTATTACTTCGTTACTTATATTAAATAAGGTTAATTACTTTAGAAATCTTTTCTTTTATAGCTTCTTAGTACCCTATTTTATATTTTTTAAATAGTTTTTTTCGTAGCTTAATTATTATTAAGTAATTATTATTTATTAGTAATCTTTTTTATTACTTAGTTAATTTTTTAAAATTAATAATTTTATACTAAGAGCTTAGTATAAAAAAGGAGCTCCTTAGTAACCTTTTAAAAAAAAAAAAAAAATTTCCCCTTAAAACCGTATTTTTTTAGCCTTTTTTTAAGCTAATTATAATTTTAATAAAAAGTTATAAAACTATTTTAAAATAGCTACTTTTTTCCTAAGTTAATTTCTAAGATTTATAATATTCTTAACTTAATATTATTAAAACTTTTAAATCTCTTCCTTCTTTATTAAACCGTTCTTTATATTATATTCTTAAATAATATTTAGGGGGTAGTTAAGGGGGTTATAAAAAAATTATTTAAATTATAAACTTCGAGGTTATATTTATAAAATCCTCGTAATATTAAGCCTTTTTATATATTATAAATTTTTTAACTTAATAACTCTTATACGGGTTCTTATTATACTTATTAAAAATATTTATATTTAAAGATCCCTTTTTTTAATTACGTAATACTTTTTTATATTATATTATTAAGCTTATTTATTATACTAATTAATTAAGTAAGTAGCCGCTATATAAATATTTTTTTTTACTAATTTAATTAGTTAATTTCTAATTATAAGCTAGCTATAGAAAAGTTATTTAATAAAAAAGCTACTTAAAGTAATAATAAAAAACTAATTACTTAAATAATTCTATTAATTAATATAATTTAATATAATAAACGTCGACTTTTTATAAATAATAAGGGGCTACGATTACTTAATTCTATATAATATTTAAAAATCGCTTCCTTTTTTATCTATTTTTATAAAATTAATTAGTACGAATCTCTTATTTTATATAATATTAAGAGGTCGTCTTTTTTATATAACGAGATACTTTATTAATTTATAATAATAGAATTTAACTACTAATTAATATTAGTATCCTTATTATAAAGTAGCTAGTTCGAACTATAAGTTAATAAAGAGATTAATTAAACTATATAAATTTTTATATAAGTATAAAAAAGAAGTTCTAACTATAGGTTAGGCTAGCTATAATAATTATAAATAAGGCCCCCTAATTAGCCCCTATGTAGTTAGCCGTATGCTGCGGTTAAATTAAACTTCCAATCCGACACAATATAACATTTCTTCAAATAGACAAAACCGCAGTAGCGACCGCCTTCAATTATAGGGATAACGCGAGAAACTACCCCCAACCATTGATAAGGGACCGCTTTCAACTAGGCGTTTTTAAACAACCAACAGCCTCATCTTTAATGTGTTCCTCTAGCTCTGGTTCGCGACCACTTAGATGAGATCTGTTAATCAATCAGGAAACACCGAGATTCTAGAGACCGGCGAGATAGATAATAACTCTGGCAACGCCAGAAGTTGTGGGTAAAATTCCTAGAAAGATAGCATTTGTTGTTCCGAGCTTTGAGAAAGAGAGTTTGCTTGACTCGGGATGAACGATTACATGCGGCATCGTGAAGATTTATTGTGGTGCGGCCCACGGATCGCGGCATCGTGACGAATGGAGTCAAGGGTGAAAGACATGGGTCCCAGGTACCGGATCGAACGGCGCAGCTCCGCGCGCAACACCGGTATGATTTCGGAATTACACTCGCTAACAGCGCAGTTCAGCAAAAGAAAGGTCCTTTTCCGATTAGTTTTCAATTTCAATCTGTGCTAACGATACGTTTATATCATTTTTACTTACAAAGTTCTCACCGCTCCTTGACAGTGCTTCCCGCTGGCATTCGGCAAACTCCCTTCCCGACAGACAAGTTGTGCTAGGCTCGTCACAAAGCACGATATGTCGGACGTCACATATTCTTCTGCAGAAAATATTGCAAGGGTTCTAATTGTGCCTCATGCTGTTTTCAGTGTTCTAGCAACCGTCTTGGTTGGCATGCGACTCTATGTCACGAGAGTTGTAGCCAAGTCGCCATGGACTTTCGACGAACATGTCGCCATCGTAGCACTGGTGAGAGGGCCCGTATACCAAAGCACTTGTAGCGTTGAGAGCCTTCTCTCGCTGACAGATGAAATATACAGATTGCCAATCACATAATGCTGATTACTGAAGGGATCTGTAAGTTATTGTTTGCAGTTCACGCGCAAACCCTAC